TGTTGATGTAGTCCGCTCTATGGAGCTAAAATTTTGTAGATATTGGAAAGAATTGCATTCTTTATTTATTTTAGTTTCAGTAATGGACCCTCGACTTAATTTAACTGGCACAAAAACTACTGTAAAGGGGATATCAAATTTTTTGAATATAGAATTATCACACGTGAATATAGAATCTTTTTTATGTGAAATGTATAATTATTATACTAAAAAGGAAGGTCAGCGTGGTTCTACTTCCCAAAGTTCTTTTTCAAGAAATATTTCAACAAATTCCGAAAATTTATGAAATTATTTAGATAGCAATACAAGTGTTCCTTCATTTAATTCTAGTTCTAGCTCATCAACATCTAGAGCGATCAATATTGGTGGTACAAATCTTGAAATTCCTTCTAAGTTAGCTAGGTATATGTGCGTGGATGTTTGTAGTGTGTTGCAACCGAACGAATTACAAGAATTTAGTCTTTTAAATTGGTGGAGATGTAACGAAAGGTAATATCCAATTGTATCAAAAATTGCACGTGATCTACTAACACCTCCGGTGTCTACGGTAGCATCGGAGGCTGCATTCAGTTTAGGTGGTCGAATTTTATCAGATGAACGATCAAGACTAAAAGAAGATATATTGGAGGTTTTGATATGCTTGAAGGTTTCGAAATGTGCAGAATTACGTGTTCAAGAACATGTTGATAGTATAATATCCGAAGAGTTGCAGCATATCCAAACATAGAATGTTGTAAGTTTTTAAATTTATTTGATTCAAGAAAATTGTACACGAAATATTTTATTCGTGTATAATTTCAACTCCCCCTACGTTGATTGTAGCCGGTCCCAAGCCCGGAAAAATGAGGATGGTTGTAATTTGTAACTTTTATTTATTTTGTTATTCGTATAAATTACATAATTTTGAAAGTTGTACTTTTATTTAATTTGTAATTTGTATAAATAATAAATGATGCAATTTTTAAATTCTTTCAAAAAAATGTCATTAAACAATTTCTTTGCTTTTTACACTAAACAAATTGCACCACAACAATTGACATGTGAAAAAAAATGTCATTAAAAATTGCAAAAAATTTAAAAAATCGAGTCGGCCCTGCTCGGCTCGTAAAAAGCCCGAGCCAAAGCTCGGGCGGAGCCTTATTTTTTTGGCCGAGCTTTGGCTCGACTCGGCCCGGGCCCAAAAAAGCCCGCTACGATTTACTCGAGCCGAAAATTTCGACTCGCGAGCCGGCTCGGCTCGACTCGCTTACATCCCTAGTTTCAACAATTGAAATGTTCCTTAAAGTCATGTGTCAAATTTTATGAAGTTACTTCTTTCTTTCCCTTGGGTTCATATAAATAAAAATAAAAAGTAAAACGTGTAAAATGGGTCAGAGTTGACCCAAGTCTTCCATGAATGTTGCATATACGGCATTTTAATTCGGAAGTGAAAGAGTTTTTGATAAAATTTGATGTGTGAGTGAAAGAAATTCAGTTACGGATATAAACGAGTCGAGTTGGTTCATGAGTCAAAGTTCGCGGCTTGGGCGTGGCTTGAGCATTTTTGGGCTCAATCCAAGCGAAGCCAAGCCGAGTTGGCTCATTTTTTATTTTTCTTGCAATTCTTTATTATTATTATTATTATTATTATTATTATTATTATTATTATTATTATAGCAAGCAAGTAGCTACTTTATTTCCAAGACATGGGCCAAAATGTTGGTGTGGTTGACATGGGTTGCCCGTGTGGCTTGTCCACTTCGAGCTTGGGGTCAATACTCAAAAATGAGCGAGCATAGTCAGTTCGAGCTTTTCCCAGGATAAGCCGTGGGCCGCTCGAGTCGGATTGACATCCCTATATTCAATGTTATACAAATTCGAGTATATACAAATGATAGTGAATTGGATTATTAACTTTAAGTCTTTGTTTGAGCCTCATTCTTCTAAAAATTCAATTTTTTCGAAACTTATTTTCAACTACACATTCTTCAATAAATGGTGTGTTTGAGCCACTTTTTTTCTTTAAAGAATGCATTTTGGAATAGTAGATTGATGAAAAATGTGTGATTAAAAAAGAAAGAATTTTTTTTATTATTTTTTATTTTTTGCATGTAGTATTATTCTAATGTAGAATATGTGGATGAAAAAAAGAGAGAAAAAAATATATTTTACAAAAAATGGGAATCAAACACCCCCAAAATAATATTACATGTAAACTTAAAACTTTTTCTTAATTTTTAACCACACATTCCCATCAATCTACTATTCAAATGCATTCTTTCCTCTAAAATGGGGTTCAAACAAAGGTTAAATATAATATTTTGAGCTATATTCATATCCGTTTGGTTTAAGATTTTATGTTTTCAGCTATACTCAGACGAGAGTTTTAGCATTAATCAATATCTTATCTATTTATTTTTAAAAAAAAAATTGTGTACCTTATCTCCCAAGGCACAAGGAGAGATAAATTTTGAACATTTTTTTTTTCCACGACAAAAATAACTTCATTCAATGATATCTAAAGTGAGAACATTTAAAATGAAAAAATCAAGTGGAATGTAAATCAAGAATTATAATGTAAAGACCTAAGAACATTTTTGTTTGCTAAGGATTTTGCTTCTCGCACAGGCATGTCGACAGACAAAAAACAAGGATTCAAAAATTATGACCTGACAATTGAAATTGGAGGGAACAGCGCACGTGAGGGACGCGTGATTGAATAAGCAAAACCTAGGGCAAAATTAATTCAATTACGCACAGTAGAGACAACTCACAGAGCTTCTCCTCTCATGCGTTACAATCCAACAATAATTTCCCGGGGGAAGGTGGCGCAATCGGCAACGGGGCGGGCCCTAACCCGCTTGGCCAAGACCCTGGCCCACCCCGTTATTATTAGAAATAAAATACAAATTCAAAATGATTTTTAACGGGTAAATTGTTTAGAAATAAAATTATTTTTAATTTTATTTTTTTCTTCACGGGGCGGAGTGAGTATACAAATTCAAAAGAGATTTTTAACGGGTAAATTGTTTAGAAATAAAATTATTTTTAATTTTTTAATTTTATTTTTTTCTTCACTTGGCGGGTTTAGGGTGGGGTGAGTCCATTCGAGGCGGGTTTTTTGCCCCATTCGAGGTGGGGCCCCATCGGGACGGGGTAATTTGTCATCCCTACCGACAAGGGCGGAGCCATGAATTATTATTACGATGGACTAAAAATTTAAAAAATTTAATCTACAAATAAAATTTACATATAATAAGAAAAATTTATAATATAAGTTACCTATTGAAGTTGTACTCAGCGATATTTTACAACATAAAATTCATTTATAATAGAATCTAGATCTAAATTCATACTAAATTCTCATTTAATGTTTAGGCTTCGTTTGATTCGCCAAATTTTCCATGAAACTTGGAATTCGAATTCCAACTTCCACTTTTGGCCTGTTTGATTGACAAGATTTTCCAGGGAATTCATTTTCCATGTAATTCTAGGTACAACACCTTAAAGCGTGATTTTCCACCTTTTATTTTCCTAGGGGGTTGGTTGTTTTTGGTTTTCCACCTTTTTTTTTAAATTGTTGGCAATGAGAACAAATTCTAGAAACAATTGTAAAAGAGAATATACCTGAAATTGACAATTTTCATGTAAAACAATGCCAAACGAACACCAAAATATAGATGATTTTTTGATTTTTTTTTTTGAAATGAAAACAAATTCTAGGAACAATGGTAGAAGTAGATATCCTTTAAATTGACAATTTTCATGTAAAATAAAGTCAAACGAACACCAAAAAACACTTTTACTTCAACATTTTCCACGTGAAAAATTATACCAATCAAACACAATAATTTACAATTCTCAAGAAAACAATTTCTAGGTAATTCAATTCTCTGGAATTCATTTTCTTTCCACCCAAATTCCATCTTCACAATCAAACAGACCCTTAGTGTTAAACAATCAGCAAGAAAACCATCATCCATTTTGTTACAAATTTTCGTCTTCACATATTTCATTGCTGAAAATGCCCGCTCCACAGTTGCCGTTGAAACAGGTAGTGTCAGTACTAAACAAATCAATGTAGTCAAAATGACGTAACTCTCCAACCTTCTACTTGCAACCAATTCCCGACATAAATCAAACAATGTAGGTACTTGAAATCGAGGTTCATAAATCACATCATTCTGATAGTGTTGCAACTCAATTTTCAAACAATAAATATCTTGCTGTTTAAAATTTTCAGGATAAAACTTCTCTGCAAACTTGCAAATATTATCCATATTAAATGATTCAAAAGAATTTTTTGGATCCAAAGCTGTACTGAGAGAAAGGAGCTCTATTGATGTCTCAATAAATCTTGTATCTAACTCCATCATTTGAAAGTCAATGGCTACATTGAAAATATCAAAGCGTTAATGATGTTCAATTGTAGGATACTCACAACCACGAGAACGACCAACCATATACGAACCATCAAAGTCAGGTACACGTATATCATTTTTTGAGCAAAAACATTTCACCTCTTCAAGAAATTCTTCCCAGCCATCTTCTCTCAATGCTTGAAGGATAGTTTTTGTAGTACAGACAAATCTCATAGCAGTTAAGATGTCTTAAGTTTTCTTTTGAAGGGACTGACAAAGAACATCCGCAATTGCTAATATTCTACACATTAAATGCAAGATAAATACAAATTCAAATGTTGTTATGGTTTTGTATACACCACCAACTTCGGACCGAGATCTTGTGCTTGGAGAATGATTACTAAGATACTCAAGCACATTGGAAGTTGTAGCATACATATCAATCAAACTCTTTACAGAGCTGTAATGAGAAGACCAACGAGTACTTCCGGCTCGTTGCAAATTACCAATCTAATTAGCATCACTTCCGGACTCTCGTTCTCTAATTTCTAACAAATGCTCAATTTCTTTTCTTTGTGAACTTTTCAACTCATTGATGCGCTTAGGAGATGATGTAATCATATTAATAACATTGTCCAAATGAGAAAAAAATGAATTAATTTATGAGACGTCCTTAGCTGCAGAAACCAATGTGAGTTGTAAATGATGGGCAAAACAATGAACATAGTATGCATATGGACAATCTTTAAGAAATAATGCATGTAGTCCATTCCAAGAACCACACATATTATTAGCACCATTATACCATTGGCTTCTCATGTTTTGCACTTGAAGGTTGAAATGAACAAGAACATCAGAAACCTGATTCTTAAGATTTAATGAGGTAGTGTCACTAACACTTTTAATTGCAAAAAAGCGTTCTGTTAAAATTCCATTACTGTTCACAAACCTCGGGATATTAGTCATTTGTTCTCGTGAAGATTCATCTCGTGTTTCATCAACAAGAATACTAAACTTTGCATCCCCAATTTCCATACGAATTCCTTGTCGTAATCTATTGGCCATAATGCTCAAATTTTCTTTTTGAATGTCTGGAGACGTGTATGTAGCATTTTTGGGAGCATTACTCAACACAACTTTTCCTACTTCAATATTCATTTTTGCAAATGCATCCACCAATTCAATAAAATTCCCACGATTCAGTGAAGATGGAGATTCGTCATGGCCTCTAAAGGAATAACCTTGAAGAGCTAACCACTTAACACTCATAATCGTGGTCTTTAGACGCAAACGATTTTTCTGTTTTTCCTCATTTGATACAGAATGCATTACCTTGTCAATATGTTGAGTTGGTTTCATTAAATCTTCAACTCTTCTCTTACAGCCATTATGAAACAATGACGATGTTGTACTAACATGAATAAGAAATGCACATTTACTTCATTGGTTAACCATCTTCCAACTATCAAATCCAATAGTAACCAATGATGAAATATTCGGTAGAGTACTATCATTTAGAAAAAGGAAGTAGTAAAAACAATATGTCTTATGTGTTGAGGGCGAATATTCCAACCAAAGAAATTGATTATACCAACATTCCTGAAATCGACGTTTCTACTTTCCACATTCTTTGTTCTGATACTCCAAAAGTTTTGGTTGATAAGGTCCAATATTTAGATAAGCCCGCCTAATCTGATCGCGTTCATTAAATGGACGTTCACATATTTGCTTTCTTTTTCCAAGGTCTCGTTCAATAGAATCAGATGGTTCAAAATTAAAATTGGAAGATGAAGGTCGTTCAACTTCAGGGCATGAAATTGGAGGAATGGGCACCGTAGGAATTGGAGAGTCCTGAGATTTTTTACTTTTTGAAAAGAAAGACAATAAAGTTCTACATTTCTTGGTAGAAGGTCGATCTTCTTCCATATTAAATCTAAAAGCATAAAAATAAAAATGCTTCAATATTCCATAAAGGCATAAATATAAATTGATAAAACCATAACCATAAAACCAATTTACCGTTTGCTATGAAATGAGATTTTTTATCCAAAATCAAAGAACTAACCTTAAACCTTCTCAACTAGTTCAGCAACATTTGGACCCTCTTCTTAACAAATAGTACAGTACTTCAAAGAATCAAAGTGCTTCACCTACAATTAAACAAAAAAATCCATCAAATGAGTAACCAGAATATGCCCTTCAAAAACCTAGAAAAAGGAACTATGCTATGGTAGTACAAAATGTTCTGCAGCAACTCAAGAAATTGTAACCAGCCATTCTAGAACTTGACAAAGGACTGAAAGCCATTTTCAGGAGCATGATGAGAATATGAGTTGCTTTATTTAAAGTACTCAACCATTAGGGTTAAATGGTCAATGTTCCAATAATCCTAATACAGTTTTGTCTCTTTTATATTTGTTAAACAAGATAATTAATACAAATATTCTTGTCCTCCTTGATTACTCCATTGTCCATATAAATCTTATTTAAAAGTGCAATGCATTTTATTTATCTTTTGTGAACACTTAAGTTGAATGACACACACACACTACATCCATAGCAAGAAATTACATAATCTGTTGCAGAAAGATCTACTCATAAATTGCTTTGAATGGGTAAATCTTTCGTTGGCCTCAAATCTCAAATTACGTAAATGTAAAATACATAAAATACAACTAATCAAAGATATACAACACAATTATTATTAAACTGCAAAATTTCAACAAAATGAAACAGAAATTAATGTTGCGCATAATGCATACAGATAAGCACATTAAATTAACACTACACATGCACAATACAATTGGCCATACTGCCAAAGTAAAGCCCGAATAAATTTAGGAATTAGGAGCCCCTTTTCAGTTTTTCACCACCAGATCTTTCATACTAGCGAGTAGCGACAGTTATGAAAACCAATTTTTTCTTCTTCTCCAAGCTATTCATTATTTATTTCATATTTACTTTCTGGAAATCAAATTAAAAGACAAACAATTGAACAAGATTAGTAAATTACTTACCCTAAAACCTAACCCAAGTCGTCGGTAGACAGGCTTGAGGCGACGAATCGGTGCGACTGTGTGTTGTGCGAGTCCGTCACTCATGGGCCGGAAGTGAGTCGGCAATCGACAATTGCGTTCGGCCGACAGCTACGGGCAGAGGTAAACCGACAAAGTGAAGATAGGGATTTTGATTTTTTATTTTTGGGACTTCTGTGAATTGATTCTGCACATGACGGAATGGAAAATGTTGGGGAATTGGGATTAATTATTTGATTAATGGAATGGGTATTATTTTAGGCCTAAAATTATATAGGTTAGAGGGCTACAAATTAAAGAATTTTTTTTTTTAAGTGGGCTAGCCTTATTTGTTAGTGGGCTAATGTGGCTAAATAATTACAATTCAAACCCAAATTATTATTATTTTTTTGTTGTATCTGGGCCTGGAAGACAGTGGGTTGCAGCCAAGTGCAGCCCACTGCCGAATCCGGCCATGCCTACCGATGAGGACTCGAAGCTAAAGCAAGGCTTGTGTATCTCCTCCACATTCTTAAGGATTTGATGCCTTTCCTTTGCTTGTGAGGAGAACAAATCCACAATTCGATGCTCGTTTGTGAAGACCCAGAGCACTTTCCTATTTGTGTTCAAGTTCTTGCTTTTATCGCCTATCTTTCGGTAAGTTTTCTGCCTTGATTTTCCTCTGTGTGTTAAAGGTGCTACCTTCATTTTCTCTTCTTCTTTCTGCCAGGTTAATTACTTCACTGGAGCCCAAAGTGAGTGTGAAATTATGCAAGAAATGAATGACTACCTTTTTGAGCATGTAATTTCAGAATTATGCTTGACACATTCCCAAATGACATATAATTTAACGGCAGTTCTTATATGAAATAAGGCCTTTGTAAAGAAACACTGACTTCCGTTTACATTACTTACTGATGACCAAAAAAATTAGTTGAGCAGATAAACAAACTCCAATTGAATTGCGAAGCACTGTCCTCTGTTTGTGAAGCATAACCCCGTCTCCATCCCCAGTTAGTAAGCTTCTCTGTTCAGGTTCTTGAAGTTTGTAAAATTTATTTGTAATGTGAAACACGTTTGAGGTTTTGTTTTGGTTTATGGTAACTGAGATAATGGTATATTGTAGATAACATTTCTTGTATGTTTGGATATCGCCTATTGTAAAAAAATAATTAAAAAAATAAAAAAAATACTGTATATTGAAGGTAAGTTAGCAAGTTCACAAATCACTTTTTTTAAGGCACTTTATATTTCTGTAAGTTAACAATTGTAGTGAAGTAATTTTGACTATAATGAAGTGCAGTCTTCCTTTCTTTCAAGGAGATCAGTTGAGCAATTGCATATGCAAGAAGTAGAAGCTTTAATGAAGTTGGTTAGTCTGCCCTTCTAATGCTCCATGTGAATTGGACTTATCAACATATTCTACAACTCCACAAAAACTCTTTAACACACCAGTAGACTCATTTGAAGGCTTTTGGAGACTTGAAGTTATAATGTGGTCAATATACAATTTTGTACAGTTGATTGTATCCAGTAAGAACTCCAGCCCTAGCAAGATCTCCAGCCCCAGACTCAAGTCCATATATGTATGGTTTTATTTTCTTGCACTAGCCCTGCACTTTGACAGAACTGAAATTTCTTGGTATTGAATCTTTACCAGCATGGGATTGTTATGCCTGGGTGCGTGCGATCTTATGCATTATTTTTGGAGGAGAACAACGTTTTGCTATATCTGCTGAAGCGAAGGATGCAAAGTCGCGGTGGCGTTGGGAAAATTTATGTATAGTTGATGGACAGTGGTAGAGAGGAACAATGTAAAGCCATGATTGTACATTTCTTGGAGGACAAAAATGTAAATTTATGTAAAGCGACGACTGTACATTATTTTGTGGTACTAACTTGGGCTGTTATGTCATTTTGTATGTGTAATTTGATGTCCACACCTTTTAACAATATATTTTCCAACAAGTAGTAACTTTTTGCTGCTCTAGGCATCAGTATCTTATAAGTGAAACTCTTTTCACTTGTCTCATCAGGCATGTTCACCCAATAAATGTATATAAGTTCTATCACGGTGAATATGGTCGAAGGCTTATTTGTAGACTGAAAAATGCATCTTACAATGTTCAATGCATTGTCTTCAACATCACTGAGGTCTCCATCACACTTTCTTAAACTCAAATGCAGTTATAATTTCATTCATTCATACAAGATAATGCTTCAGCAACTACAATTGTGGCAACCCTGTCTTCAAAATATTACATGTTTCGTTAAGGCTGGATAAATCTCCTGGATTGAACCGACCAAATCAAACCCGAATCGAATCGAACCAAACCCAACGGTTATTGTCAAATTAAATACCCGAACGGGTATCTGAATTGAGAATCGACGGATACGGTTCGATTTTCGGTTCTAGACCAAGAACTGAAAAATCGAATAAAAACCGGATTTTCCAATTTTTTTATATTGATAAATCAAATTATTTTAATTTTAATTTTTTCTAAACAAATTAACAATTTCTACATCCAAATTTTTGGCCTAATAATTTGTTTCATTTCTAATTTTTTATTTTTGGCCCAATTATCCATTTTATTGTTTCATTTCTTAGCCCAACCCTGACATGATCCAACCCACTAAATAACCCTAAACACATGCATACACTACATGCATAGCATATGAAATCTAAATCACTCTCTTCCTGTCTCGCACTCACTCTCGCTGTAGTGACATTCCAAACCTATACAACCGTCGACCGAAGCTGTGACCGCCGACTGAAGATGTGACCCGACCATCGACTGAAGCTATGATCACAGCTTTCATTTGAACAAAGTAGTCTACTATTGCAGTTATTTAGAGCTTGGATTCAAGGGTTAACTGTTCATGTGTTTTTAATGAGTTATTTAGTGCTAGAGAAATTGTATTTGCTTTCTGCTTGAGAGACCCGCAGTTGAAGAATTTGTATTTGCTTTTCTTCTTCTTGACATTGAATTTGTTGAAGATGAAGAATCTATTGACATTGAATTTGTTGAATTCTGCTTGAGAAAATTCGGCAAAAAGAAAAGGAGAACAGATGCTCTAAAGTGGAAACTAGTTGAGCTTATAATCAATGATTTATTTTTTAGAAAAATACAAATATCATCTAATCTGAAAGTAGTCACTAGAAATAAAAGGAATAATGGAACAGATCTTTGTATTTTGAAATCTTTACTATGGTTGGATAGATAAAATTGATGCCTTTGGTTACAAAGTTTAGCAAAAATTGAGTGGTAAATGTTATTGCAACTGAGATTTGAACTTGAGAAGATGTATACGGGTAGAAAAGAAAGATATTAAAACAAAAGAATATAATAGACACCAATGGTGCAATTCGATTCTGCAGACTGAAAATGTCCATTAGATCTTGAGAAATATTTGGCCACAATATTTTCCTACATGAAAAGAAACCAGTTAAAATTTCTAAAGCTATAGAGAAATGGATGTAAAAGTAGAGACTTTAAAATTATTGAAAATGTAGATGATGTATAACCACTTGACCAGAAACCTTAAGAAGTTGTTGAAACATGTTTATCCTTGAAAGTGTCAAATTTTAGGTTTGTAAGCAACGTCTAAATTGGAGAAATAGCCAGCTGATCATGTTAATAAGATTAGTTAGCTTATGCTCTTTAAAGGTTTTCCAGAATGTTTTGCTGGTTTCTCTCTGTTCAATTGATGCAACTATCATTCGTTAGTGTTTTATGATTTTGTTCCACATTGTTTGTGTAGGATTTAATCAAGTTTCTTGTTAAGGTGATACCAATTCTGGATGCTCAAATGGAAGACAAAAGACAGCCTAATGAGAGGTCAGAAATATGGAATTACTTCACTAGGATACTTGGTGGAGAAAGAGTAAAATGTAATTATTGAAATAATGGAGGAAGATGACGGATTTTATTGTAAATATTTTGATGAGAATGAAGGTGAAAAAGAAAAGGAGGGACCACCTACAAGTTATGATTGGGAGAAAGCTAGAAAATTTGTCAAGTTTCTAAAATCCTTTTATGATGTCACATTGAAGTTTAGTGCTTCATTGAATGTTACTTCCATGAAGTTTGTAAAATCTAGCAAATTTTGAAGAAAATGAGCGAGAATCAAGATTATTTGCTAAGTAGTATAGCAAATAACATGAAAATTAAGTTTGACAAGTATTGGGGTAAAGTTAATAAAATGAATAAGATTTTGATTGTAGCAGTCGTGCTTGATCCTATGTATAAGTTAGAGTTTGTTGTACATTGAATTGGTATTTTGTATGACATTGTTAAAATTGAAGCCACAAAAAATGAGGTCATGAAATTATTGTATGTTTTGTATAACCAACAAAAGGGATGCCATCGTTTAAACAATGGACCTAGTGGAAGTGGAAGTGGGGGCGATGAATCTAATGAGGGAGTCACTTTGTTGGAGGATTCGAATGATGATGATGATGATGATGATTGCAATTTTGATTTTGGGTACAAGAAATTGAAAACTACCAAAATGGATTTTTCTGGAAAAGATGAGGTACAACGATATCTAATGGAATCCACTGAAGATGCTAGTGATGAAAATTTTGACATTTTGAATTGATTGAAGATCAATAAATCAAGATTTGAAATTTTATCCGAGGTTGCAAGGGATGTTCTTGCCATTCGTGTATCAACAGTTGCTTCTGAGTCAACATTTAGTACTGGAGGGTGCATTCTTGATCCATTTAGGAGTTCTTTAACTCTTAAAACAATTGAGGTCTTGATTTGTACACAAAATTGGTTAAGGAAAGTATCTAGACTTTTGAAAGTTTCCCAAGATAGAGTTTGCATTGAAGAGACGTAATTCTATAAAGGCATTGAGACAGGTACTAAAATATATATTTTTATTAAATCTTATTAGATGAACAAATTTGAATTTATTTATGTTTGTGAATAACTTAAATGTGCTTTTTTAATTTTTTCTTGTAGAGTTTCTTAATAGTGAGTATGGCAAGTCAAGCAATTGATGGATAGTTGAAGTTTTAGTATTAGTATCTACTCTTTGGTATTTGTAAATTGTAAGCATTGGTAAATTAATCTTCTTGGACAACTTGCTATCTACATGTTATTAAATTGGACTACGTTAATTTGTAAAACTACAATTGAATGTGTCATTAATTGTATTTATATAGTGTTATTATAGATGTTAAAAAATTTAATTATAGTATTGAACCGAACGGAATCGAATCCGAACGGTTCCATAATTATATTTGAACCTGACGGTTCAATTTACTGAATACCTAAAAATTTTGATTTGGTTCAGTTCTCTTTAAAATCGAACCACGCCCACCTCTACATCCCGTGCCACATAATCAATAGATAGTACTTAAACAACAGTCATTGGAATTACTACATGAAAACACTGGTAGCTAACGTGAGATAACGCTATATAAACAAAAGTTATGCCTAAAAATCAAGAGCAAATTTTTATTTAATAATCAAGTTGATCGCTTCTCTTTTGCATTCGCTTCAGCACTAGCCTTTGCCTTGCATATTTTCACGTTCACCGAAATACGTAGGTCTTCGACATTGTTGAGGTATACTTGGGATTCAAGCATTTTGGACATTTCTTCATCATTTTTGTTCGTCGCACGATTTACTAATGAAGCATTGTCGCTAGACGATTGATCGGGTGATTTTTCTTTGACGGCCTAATCCCAAAATCCTCCTCAATTCTCACTACAACAGAGAAATAATCGCCCTTTATTTGCTGTTTGCTTCTCCCCCACAAAACACTTTTCAAATCCATTCTTGCATGCCGAGCATCTGCGTTTCCTTGGGCATTCGACAAAGAAATGGCCCCTAGCTCTGCAACTATGACACATTCTTGTATTCTTTCCGCCCATTATGCCATATCAATAAATCACACAGTTAACACGAATGAATTCACGGTCACTATAACAATTTAACAAACCACTTCAATGCTCAAGAACATTGATAATTCTATCTCAAAATTCACAGTGATCATGCAATAACATACGTGATTGCTGACAACATGTTGGAATGCAACATGCATGGTTTGCTTCATCACTAATGTAGCATGTGAGAACCCCACCAATGTATCAGCACTAAACTATGAATAGCCGTGGAGGTAAACACTGGAAAATAACAAAAAACAAACAGCAGCTTTGGGATGAAGGCATTGGAGGTGAACACATAATGACGCTGACAAATAGTGATGAAGATGTAAAATGAGATTGCACAAACTAATTAAAAATTGACACCAACAATAGCTTCAAATTGTGCAAGACCGGGACATGAAGAATGCAAAATCACAAGTTCAACTATGAGATGGCATATCACAAACAAAACTAAATAAACAAGGGTGCTTTGCTGCATACCTTTGCCGGGCGACGACGGTGAACCTAGGGCTGCTGAAACTTGGATGGAAGGGCAATAACAGGGTGGAATGAAACGATGAGGCGACGGCCAAACCCCCGTCGGAAGTGCAGTCGGAGCGCCGATGGTACCTTCGTCTGAGCTGCGGCCGGAGATGGTGAAGCTTGGATTCCAATTTGGGAGAAAGTGCGAAGGTTTCAATCGGATTTGTCTTGCCCCTTTTTGATTTTTTTTTTAAAATTTCTGTGCCACGTCAGTCGGGATACAATCCCTGTCAACTATCCCTGTTCCCATAGCAGGATTGTTTTGCTAAAGGGTGCGGCTTCTTGACGGGCTCAAGAGCAAGACATCCCCTTGAAGGATTCCACCAAGTCAATAATGGCGCAGATGACTGCACATTTCCCAACATAGAGTTGAGGCTTGTGTACTTATGACACATTGACATTTCTAGATATATTAGATTATGGGAAAAGAAAAATTACCTAAAATACAAGCGACTTTTATTTAACACTAGATATTTTGTATAAGAAATTCCCTTTAAGCCCTTGTTTGAGCCCCACTATTTTTATCAAAATACATTGTTCAATAGTGATTTGACCTAATTTCAACCACATATTCTTCATTAAAATAATATTACACGCAAGTCTAAAACTTTTCTTTATGTTTTAATAACACATTTTACATCAATATACTATCCAAAAATGCATTTTTTGACAAGAATGGAACTCGAAGAAGGGCTAAGTATACAAATTGTTGAATAGCAAACAAATCTATGATCTTGTTAAGCATTAACAATAAGAAAAATTACATCTCTCTCACGCCTTCATTCTCGAATACATTGTCAATGTATCCTTCAAATTTTATACTTGAGCTATTTTTTCCAATCACAACTATATCATCAACTTATACTTTGTATTATGTTTGGAAGGTGATTATAATTTAATCATTTATGGTCAAAATTACTTTTTATGTATACATTTCATAGATTCGTAACTTACAATCACTTAAATATTAATTTAACCACTTCCCAAACATAAACTTACATGACCAAATCAGTCAATATACTTTTGCATGTTTATGAAACGAGGTGTGACCAATTTCTTTTTACATATAAAAACTTTGTATAATTTCAAAGCAAATCTCTGTTTGCGAGTGATTATTAGTAACTTTTTAAGAGTCTTTTAGAAGAAACAGTAATGGAACCAAAAAATTTGTAGATGAGAATGAGTAATAGCTCATATGAAATCGATTTTACAAGCATCGGTACTTAGATTATGTTAAACACCAAGCAACGTGACATATATAATAGATAGTGTAATCCGTTTTGTAATCAATCATTATTTTTACCACCTATTGTAGTGTGACATGTCATCATAGTGTTTAGCTGTTTAGCATAAGTAAAGTACTGATACTTAGGAGATCAATCCTAATAGTTTATGATATGTGCTTAAATTAAAGTCAAACTTTATTCATCGACAACGGCGTCACAAAACTTGTTCGATAGAATCCCGCAAGCGTAATAAATTTGTGTGAATTAAGAGTATCTTCCCATAGAAAATAATTTTCAATTTAAGTTTATTGGTTATGATAGAATTCAAATTATATAATACAAGAGAGAGTTTAATTTGATTTATGCTAAATGAATCAAGAAAGCTATAAAAGTTAAGTTTGTTTTTTTATCAATTTATGGGTGATTGTATTGGATTTCAAATCCACGTATTGCTATCTATTTTAATACTCAATTATGTAGTTTCACCACATTCACGCGTTTTTGACAATCAATAAATATAATATATTTAACTTTCTTTTCCAATAGCAATTAACTATATTCTAATCGCAACCCGAGTCTATTCCTAACTTAAATTTGAATTATTAGAATCATTAAATTTCAAATTTTCAATATGATTGCACACGTGACAAATGTCAATCCTAACATTTGTTGTACATATGCAATTTTTCTACGTTCTAAACTTATTGTGAGTTTCTAACACTACAACAATCAACTAATTATCTAATTAGTAATGAAATAATTAAATAATACAATGGATATATAAAATTAATCAAGAACCAATACAAAAAAAGGTATAACCTAGCTTTCTTTTAAATAAATTACAAAAAGAATAATGGAAAATCATCACCCAAATCATGAAAAAATGCAAGAAATCTTGATCTTGAATTCCAATGTTAAATTCTTCAAAATTTTAATATATTTGACTTCAATTCCTTACTAGAGTTCGATTTTCTCTCTCAAAATGAATTTGGCCTCTTGTTTTTTTATAAATTTGATGATTTTGTTGTGTATGAAGAGGCAAGAGAGAGTTTGACAATGTGTAGTCCTAATTTTGTATTTATAAGAGCCAGAAATTTTGATTAAAAAAGAAGTTGAATTGAGAAAGAAAATTGCTAATTCATTTGAGAAGATAGCCTCGCGTGCACACCGACATAACTACTGCGTGCAGGCTGTTGAGTCAAATGGCTCTCGAGTTGGTTAAAACAGGATACCGACCGTGCCATGAATTGCTAGTGTGCTCACCGATTTACTTTGGTTCGTTGTTGAGTGTCTTTCAATATTTTGATCATAACATTCTTTCTCCATATCCGATTGAGGTGTTTCTAAAATGTATTGGAAAGATAATTCAAATGGCTACAAATTTTTTAGAAATAGAAAATTTTCAATTCAAATGTTTGCTATCCGAAAAATGAGTTTCAAATTGAAGCTGAAAATTTGGAGTATAACATTTTTGTTTGAAAATTGATTTGTAAAAATACTTCAATATTATATTTCACTTATTTGACTTCCAATTGATCATGCCCTTGTTTGAGCCCCATTTTGGGAGGGGGTGGGGGGGGGGGGGGGAATAAGTCCGTTTTGGGGGGGGGGGGGGGGGGATGAATTCTAGAATAGTGTTTTTTAGAGAATGTACATTTAAAAAATATGCATTTTTTATTTATTTACGTGAAATATTATTTTATTAAAGAACGTGTGATTAAAAATAAATTTTTGATCAAATATGGCTCAAACAAGAGCCATATATGAACTTTAATTATCATTTTATGCTTTTATATATTATTGAATGTTTACACTTTGTTCCCAACTTTTAATTTATTCCCTTTTTATTATTTTTCATTCTTTTATTCCAATTTCAAAAATCTGCCTCGAGTTTTAACTAACAAACAAAACTAACAATATAATTAAATCATAAGTTATCATAATATATTAAAATTAATCTCGTTTGACAGCTCTATAATTGTATAGGACTGTTTGACTTATAAAAAAATTAACATTATAAATTTGCTAACATATCTAAAATAAAAAATTACACAAACTTTCTTCGATCAAAAAGCAACCAAAAAATAGTTCTAAAATTTGAAATTGGAGGCTCGTTTCGGCAAAGCGGGAAAAATGAAAATAGTCGCACAATTTGAAAGGCAAAATGCACAAAACAACCTCAAAATCCGTATAGTGACGTGGCTAATGACCATTGGCTTATTGACCCTCAACGGGATCACAATCTGAATTCCCCTCTTTCCTCTAATCTCAGCCGTTCATTTCCTTACTCCACCGCCCTCGAAATCCCCAAATTCAAATCACCCCTGAAATTTTCTCCTCCCGCTCCTCCATTTCTGTATATAAAAATCCCTCATTCTTTAACGAAACCACCGCCTCAATTTGCAGCATTCTATAAATCCAAATTCCTATATTGAAAATCCATTCTCGGTTCACAAAAATTAATGGCTCGTACTAAGCAAACTGCTCGCAAGTCCACCGGAGGCAAGGCTCCAAGGAAGCAACTTGCCACCAAGGCCGCCAGGAAATCCGCCCCGGCCACCGGCGGAGTAAAGAAGCCTCACAGGTTCCGCCCTGGAACTGTCGCACTTCGTGAGATCCGTAAGTACCAGAAATCCACTGAGCTTCTAATCCGTAAGCTACCTTTCCAGAGGCTGGTCCGTGAAATCGCCCAGGACTTCAAGACCGATCTGAGGTTCCAGAGCTCTGCTGTGGCGGCGTTACAGGAAGCAGCCGAGGCCTACCTTGTTGGACTGTTTGAGGATACCAATCTCTGTGCCATTCACGCTAAGAGGGTTACAATCATGCCAAAGGACATCCAGCTTGCTAGGAGGATTAGGGGTGAAAGGGCTTAAATTGTGGACCTGTAGTGTTGTTAGTTTAAACCACTGGTTTATTAGTATTGTGAATTTCCTTTCAGTGTTTTTCTTAATTATCTATGAATTGAAAATTTTATGTTTAATCTCTCTGCCGTTTTAATCTAACAAATGCTGATTCAATATTTGAAGCATTTTAATTAAATGTGCATTCATATATATAAAAGGTTTGGAATTAAATAGAAATAAAACATTTAAGCAGATATTAATTTATAAATGATCAACACAATTTTTTTGAAAGATAAAATTGAAGTAAGAAATGAAAGTTGTAAAGTTTTGCATAAAATGTAAATTATACTCCTTATTCAATTTTGCCTTCTTTTAAGTTGAATATTAATTTTTTCCAAAAAATTCAATTATTTAGATTTTTTGATTGAAAACTTTTTATATGTATATATATATATATTTTTAATCTTTAGTAACTCAGTACTCTCAGAGTTCGTAAATCTAAAGGGAATTTGTTCAGTTGGTTGTTGTGATATGGAATCGTGGGTTTTGTTTCTTGTTGCAATGTAAACTATAATTTATTTTGGATTTAGCATTTGTTTGGTGTGAATTAAGCCCTCGTTTGGTTTTTATTAAATTATATTTCATTTATCATACAATCTTTTATAAAATAATATTATACGTAAATTGAAAATTTTTCTTTTTTTTAATCACTCATTTAAAAAAAGAATATTATTCAACTTATTTTCATTACCAAGAAACGGGAGCCAAATGGAGGGCTAAAATTAGATTTTTTGTAAATTTTGATAAAAATTGATGAAATGTGAGTGATATATTATGGATTTTATAACACAGTGGTTAAAATTAATTGTTAATTTTAATTAAAATTAAAATTTAGACATGAGCTTGTTTGAGTCCCATTATTTAGAAAAAATGCATTTTTTATAGTATTTTGACATCATTTTAACCACACATTTTTAATAAAATAATATTACACGTAAATTCAAAAATTTTTCCTATTTTTTAACCCATATTTTCCATTAATACATTATTCAAGAATTTATCTTTTCAACTTTTCTTAAAAAATGGGGCTCAAACATTAATTTTGTGCATAGGACATCTATGCTCTCATTTGACCTCCATTTTGGGGAAATGAAAATAGATGGAATAGTATTTTAAAAAAAAAAAAATAAGTGGTTGAAAAAGAAGAAAAAATTTCGATTTACGAATAATATTATTTTATGGAAGATTGGGAATCTTTTGAAAATATTCTAAGACTCTTATCAAGGATTGTGTTAACAAAGTTAAGGATATATTTATTATATTTTGCAAACGTTAAGAATGAAAATTGCAAATTTTAGAGTGCTTTTGGTTTGCTATTTTGAAGTCATTTTCAGTTTTTTTAAAATACTCAAAACATGTTTGAAATATAATTTTCATAAATGCATTTTCCAAAACAAGAAAAACTTTACAACATAAAACTTAAATGACATTTTGATGTTTTAAGTGATTGAAAATACTCAAAAAGCTCAAAATAAGAAAAATAAACTTAAAATTTTTTCAAATTAAAATAATTAATGAAATCACACAAAATCTACCAAAATGCAAATACTCATCTCTCTCTCAATTTATTATCTACAAAGGGATTTCGATTCAATTGTTGGATATATATTTACAATAATTCCCTTTTTTTACCAACTTTAAATTTTATATTTTTTGATAACATATTAGCATAAAATTGATGTGGTTACTAAATAATCAAATTAATTGAAAAAAAAATTCATAAAATTATCTTTAAAATTTTTAAACCATGCATTTTCTAATTTTTTGTTTTGAAAAATAAGTTTTCAGAATAACAAATCAAACGTGTTTTATGAAATCTTAAAATAATCTCTCAAAACTAAAAATAGAAAATGATTCAAAATTGAAAACAAAAAAATAGAAAGGCACTCTAAACAGTCAAGAAAGGAAGAATTTCACTGAATTGTCTTTTTGCCCTATAATTAAAAAAAAAAAAAAAAGGTTGAACTCCAATCTTGAGGGCCTCTACCATCCCACCCCTAGAGCTTTGTGAGGGAAGTAAATCACGGGATGTGCTCCAACAGATCAGGGAACAAGAGTTGCCTGTACACTGCGTCTACAAGGAGTCCAATTCCATATATCAGGAATCGAACCCCCACATTGCGACTGTCAGTAAGGCGTGAGATAACTCCACTCCTATCCTTTGCACCACTAGACTATGCCTCGAGGGTGTCTTTTTGCCCTATAATAAAATCTACCTTCGACGTGCTTCTGAATTATAATTCATCCCTAACATTTCAATTATGTAGCAAATGTTGACGGGGAAATGTTCAAATTTCCTTGTCAAAACTACAAAAAAAAGTGTGTTTTTAACTTTTCAATTAAAATAATGTTACGTACAGTAGTACATGATCGTAGTCGTCACAAATGATATATATCAAAAGATTAATGATTTGAAACTAATGCAATAAAAAACTATCACACATCAAATAACAGTCACATGTATGTATTACTCTTACAATTATGTAGCAAAAAGATTGAGGCAAAAAATGCAAATTTTCTTTTCAAAAATATGGAAAAAATGTCGTCTTCTCGAAAGAATCACATAGGATGAATATCACTACTAACGTGAAGCACAAAACTATTCATTCTCCCGCCACGCCTTTTCTTCTCGTTTCATTCACCAACGCTCCGAATCTCCAGAAAAATTTCGAAAATGGAAATTCCGGTTATCGATCTGGCTCCATACTTGGAATTCTCAGATTCTGCTAAACAAGAGCTGGATCCACAGCTCAAGTGTCTGTGCTCGGAGGTGAGCCGAACCCTAAGGGAGACAGGAGCATTACTAGTCAACGATCCGCGATGCGCAGCTCAAGACAATGATCTGTTCATCGATATGATGGAGAAATACTTTGAAATGCCAGATGATTTCAAACGCCTACAAGAACGCCCTCACCTCCATTATCAGGTGCCTCTTAAAGTTTTATTTTAGTTTGGGCAGCATTCTGCAGTGTGTAATTGTGGTCTATAATTCGGATTATAACATAATCAGTTTTAAAAATTTAAATTGGACCGTAAATGATAGTTCTGATACACCAACGGTGCTGATTTAGTCTTTTTTATGCATATGATTGGTTTTAGAGTTTAATGTTTAAGATTGTGCTCAACTGGATAGTTCATTACTCGACTCCAATATTGTGGCGATTTATTGTATCTGAGAGTTTTGTTCCTTCATTGTCGAGTAGAAAATATCTTAATGTATGTTTCTTTATATTTTTAATCATATTAATACATACATAACTAGTTAATTTTTGAATGCCTCAATAAACAGAATTTGAATTGAGATCTTGGGATTGAGAAAGATAATTAAAAATTGGGTGGATTTTCCTTTCATAAAATGCAATGAACCTGGAAATAAGTTTCATAGTTTTGCTTCTTCAAATGGTTAAACAAAGCAAAAATAGATGCCATAATAAATCAGTACCATACTGCTATAATTGGAAATGAAATCCTGACTGGATTAGTACTAATAATGCCCTCACTTGAACTCTACATTATAGTGAGATTTTCATAAGTGAAATATGTTTTTAATATCTTTCCTTGCTGACTAAATTGCTATAAATTGGGCTAGAGTTGTCCCAGTATCAACTTTTTTTCGCATTAGCCCATATGAGACAAGCATGATTCAGAAGGTGTAATTGCTGCAAAAAGTAGTATCAGGACATTATTATTACAGTTACAACTCTTTGAAGCTGTCATCCTACTGTACTTCCTAAAAAATTAAATGGAGGTCATGCCTACACTTTCATACTTTTAAATTTTTCTTAGGAACATCAACTTCCTTCTCCTTGCACTTTAGTTCTGCCTCATTCAATCTTGTAATCAAACTGAAGTCCCTGTTTTTCCTTTTAAAGAGCAAAATTTGGAACCAATAACGTTCTGTCATTTTGTTATACTCCTTTTTCTTCAACAGGTTATACGAACTAAGGGTGACTCACATATTCATTTCATTTTAACAAGTACAACTGAGCTTATCTTTCGTTAACTAAAATATACATGCAAATATAAATGCAATTAGTTAAATACTGTTCTTTTTGTAAAAGTGAGTTGTTGGTAAGCTTTTCAGTTTGACGCTTATCTAGTGACTAGTGCTATCGTACTTAACAAGACTTGTAGGAAATTTCATTTCAGGGGATAGCTTCCCTGGAAATTAAATAAGAGGCTGATGTAATCAAATGAACCGTGATAGGAAAAGCACTTGAAGAATGCCTCTTTGATCGTGTAAATTCCGTCAGTTATAGTCTCTTAACTCAGACACTAAATTGTAATTTTATCCTCTTTCATGTTGCCCTGATATATAGGCGCAGTTGGTTATCCCAGCATATTCTAGCTTGAGTTCTCAATGCAAATAAGAAAATATCATTAGTCATACAACTGCTTCTGTTTCCTTTCATTTCATTCCACTTACATTTTTAATGCGGAGAAGCTAGAATAGTTAGTTAATTAGAAGGGAAACACATAGTTAAAAGATTAGAAATTAATAATATTCCATTAAGTAGGGGTTTGATAGTCTGCTGATCGAGAGTACTTAATCTAGTTGCAATTTTGCTCTCATATTTTCACAGGTTGGAGTGACACCTGAAGGAGTTGAAGTACCTCGTAGTCTAGTTGATGAAGACATCCAAGAGAAGCTAAAAGCAATGCCCATAGAGTTTCAGCCATTGGCTCCCACTGGACCAGATCCTAAATGGCGATACATGTGGAGAGTTGGTCCACGACCATCAAACACCCGCTTTAAGGTTGACTGAAATCCTTTCATTCTGATTTGGAGACTGCTGGGATTCTATTTGTTATTAACAAGTGACCATCTTGTAGGAGCTTAATTCCGAGCCTGTAATTCCCGAGGGTTTTCCTGAGTGGAAAGATACCATGAATTCATGGGGACATAAGATGATATCTGCAATAGAGGTGAATCATCAGCACTGTGTGTTTCTTATATTCTGCAGCAGGTTACACAAATTCTTTAACTTTCGTGTGATACTATTTTTGTTCAGGCTGTTGCTGAAATGGCGGCCATTGGCTTTGGCCTGCAGAAGGATGCATTCACATCTCTTATGAAGCAGGTTATTTTATTTTTAATTTTTTTCTGATATTGTTTTTATCACCCATCCCCATCTTTCTTCAGTTTTTTCCTAGTAAGACACATTTCTATCTGATTGTAATAAAAATACAAATAAGTTCTAGTCCTGTTCCCACCGTCTCAGAAAATTTATGCCTAGAGTTTGTCTTATAAAACTGCAACTAAAGTATTCCTACTGCAGAATAGAGTAACCTTAGAAAGTTGTGAGATTTCACATGCATTTCTTTCCTGGGTGAAAATATGTGATCTCCTGTCTTTTCTTGTCTTCGTACAAGTTTTCTAGTTGGAATGGAAAAATATGTATGAATTTGATTCTGTATTATTGAAGTGCCTCTAATTCTTTTCTTGACCTTTTTCTTCCATACTATACACTAAAAGAATCATATAACTGACCCTGAATTTACTGGGAACAAGGCATAGCTTGTTATTGTACTATGCATAGTAAAAGATCAAAGGTAAAGATATGTCTTGCATCAAATATGAGTACTGTAGCTTATGAATCGTCAAACGGTCAATCTGGAATAGCTTCAATACGTGTGTGATTTATGCCTGCCAGTTGTTTGCCATTTTGTTCTTTCAGCCCTTCTTGTATCAATTGAGTCTTGGTTTAGGTTTCTAGCGTATTCCCATCACATTATGCAATCTACAGAATTTAATTAATATAATTTGGAAATGGGGCTTGCAACATGGATGCTCATTATAACACGTGGAGAAAATTTTATGTAAAAAATCAAAAGTTGAATTCTCTTTACGTAAAAGGTCACCCTTCTTCCTTGCCTTCACCTTCCATTTTCTTCAATAAAGCCTTTGTGCCTTCTCACTTACAGAAAACTAGAGCAATGAATATTTATTCATCCACCAGAGTTGTGTAATCGTATCTGAAACAATAAATCCTCCCGAACATGAAATCAAGTTCACTTCCCCTTCCTTAATACTTTACTACATCAATCCTCTCCAATATTTATCCGTAACAAGCCTTAAGCTATCCAGACTGTTGCTTCAATGGCAAAAAACTCCTTTTTAGGCCTTTTTGAATTTAGATGTCATTTATGGTTTTCCAGAATTTCTCATTTCTATTTTCATACCAATATTCTTTCTTTATGGCTTGACATACTCTTAACAAGTATCTTCACTTCTCAAATTCCAGGGACCTCATCTGCTTGGTCCAACTGGAAGTGACCTAAGACATCATGGCCAATTAGGTACTGTGTTTGCTGGATATCACTATGATCTCAACTTCCTAACAATTCATGGCAGAAGTAGATTCCCAGGTCTCAATATTTGGCTAAGAAATGGGCAAAAAATGGAAGTGAAAGTTCCTCTGGGATGTCTCCTCATTCAAACAGGAAAGCAGGTAGGATTCCCTCAGTTTTGACTATTGATCTTATTGTTAAGATAAGATGATTTGAATTTCTAATAATTTACTAGTGGGGTTAAGCTGGCTGTTTGGTTGTTTATTCCGTTATTGTCATATGTTAATGGCCATATATCAGAAGATAATTTGTTTATTAATTTATAATGGGTTTAGTCTGGCCGAATTGTTGTTCATTCCATTATTGATCATATATAATTGGCCATATATGAGAAGATAATTTGGTTAATTTATTTTTTCCCCAATCATATCCTCAACTAACAACAAAAGATATTTTTGTCATTAATATATCACGTGTTTGATATGGCTGTTTTATTGTTTATTCATTTATATAATTGGCCGTTTATGAGAAGATAATTTGGTTAATTTATTTTAGCTTCCAATCATACCCTCAATAGTACTGCAGAATACTTGCATGTGCCAGGTGTGAGTGAAAAATGTCATTTTTTTTGGATCGTTTATGTTCAGTGAAGTTTTTTGTTTCCCTGAGATTAGATTAGTACATAAACAGATATAATGCTTGACCTAATAATTCCTTCCCACCTTTTTTCCTCTTTGGTTTCCAATATAACTGTTTAGCAAAATGATGCAGCACCAACGGGATAATTAATTGAAAATTAGAACAGATCTATAGGGAGGGGAAATTAGAGAGAAGAATGGGGACGGGGATTCAACAGAAGGGAAGAAAGAAAATAGGAAGAGAGGAATGCGCCATAAGCCACCAAAATATTATTCATTCATCAACTGAAAATTACAATGCAAAATATGTTTAAATAGTAAAGCAACCCTAACGAGATTGGGCCCGAGCCCATACAAGTCCAATTTTCTAAATAATAGTCCAAGAAAATAAATAAAGCTTAACAATAAAATAAAATAAGTAAATGTCCGATGTCCTCATCACAAGAGTTTTTGAATTTTAGTTTTCTTTTTTCGTTTGTGCCATAATGAAGTCTTCATCAGTGGAGATAATTAATGATCATTTGAGCATTCACTTTGTATGAATGTATATGCAGATAGAGTGGTTAACTGCAGGAGACTGCATAGCTGGTATGCATGAGGTTGTTGTGACTAACCGCACAATTGATGCAATCAAGCTAGCTACGGCGCAAAACCGCAGCCTGTGGAGAGTGTCCTCTACGGTAAGTTAAGCCAATAATATAACAATCATTTAATTCTTTTCATTTTTTGCATTGTAGTTTATCATTGTCAAGGTGACTATAATTGCTATTATTTGACTTTTCTCTTGGGTCTTTTGTAGCTTTTTGCACACATAGCATCGGATGCTGTGTTAAAACCTCTAGGCCATTTTGAGGAATCCCCCCTTGCCTGCAACTATCCTCCCATGTGTGCTGGAGAGTTTGTCGAACAAGAGCTTGCTGTAATTAATCTCAAGGGCAGTAATGGAGACCTTTGAGAACTTATTAACTTGGATGATGTTCTTTTGACGCCAATAACACTTGGAGATTGTTGCCTGAAATGTCAATGAAAATTAAAGTTCATTCTCACCAGTGTTTTGTGGGCAGATAGCAGGAATCAATCAAGTAATTGGATTTCTTCGTTTCCCTAAATTTTTTATAGGACAAGTATGGATTTGTGTTGAATGATTTTACACTAGGACAATTATTGAGGGAAAAATTTATTAGTATTCTTTTCAATGTTGAAATTCAGAACTGTGACATAAAGGATAATGCTGGCCCTATCTTCTTTCCCACCTGATTTTGTGCATAGTTTATATTCCAATATAATGAGATACCGTTAAATAACATTGCCTTTTGCCTTGTCAGCATATCAAAATGTGTACTTTTTTACTGGAATCCACATTGGATGCACATAATGATAATAAGTTGCAAATCTGAATTTTCTTCATAATATTGTATGCTGGCTCAAAAAATTTCTGAATATTGTGTATAGGTAGGGATGGTAACGAGGCCTTGCCCCGCCCCCACCTTAGATGGGGTGGGGCGCAGGCGCGTGCAGGGGCGGGGCAATTTTTTGTCCCGTATGTTGCCCCATTTCATTTTTTCTTATATATATTTTTATTTTATTTTTACATTTTCAAAATTTTGAATGATGTCATTATTAGAAATTAAAATACAAATTCAAAATAAATTTTTAACAAGTGAATTGTCAAGAAATAAAATTATTTTTAATCTTTTTTTCCTTCACGGGGCGGGGTATAGCCCCGCGCTGGGGTGCCTCGCCTTGCCCCACCCTATCAACTCGTTCAAGACGGGTTTTTTTGCCATTACTATGTATAGAAGGGTCATCGCCTGAAACATGAGTGTAATAACTGTACAGAAAGGTGCCAAAAATCATGTCAATGCTATACAATAGAGTTAGCTAGCTCTTACAAATGACGTGAAACAAGTGTGACAGAGTGTTTTAATTGATGTGTGGATTTTTCTTGTGTATTGAATGGCTAACAATGAGCCTTTATGTAGTTTTCTATAACTAGCGATCTTATAATAGTCAAATTTGTATTAAAAACCATATACGAATCCTGAAAGTTAATTTGTGGATTTTTCTCGTGTATAGTGTTCTCTTTTCTTTCTAGGAGCTAATTTAGGAGTAGACATTTGATCTTCTACATACATATGTATTATGGAGAGTATGGATAAGTTATTCCAATACCTGTGTTCAAATTGGGGCAAAATTATTTGAACACCATGTTTTCTCGTGATATTTGTTCATATCTTGGTTGAATACCCATCTTAACTTCCTTCTCCAAATCTTCATGAATGAATGCATTTTTCATGTCGAGTTGGAATACTATTTGTTGCCAAAGATAGGAGACTCTGATTGTATTTATTTTTGCCACCATCATGAATGTTTCGAGGTCGTCCAAACTATTCAATTGAATGTGTAGTTTGACACGACTGTTGTGAATAGAGCTTTTAGTAGTAAAACTTTTTGAAAAAGAGTTTACTAAAAGCTTATGGTTACTTTGGTTGTCAAAAATAAAAAAAAAATGTTGTGAACATTAAATTGATTATTTGGCAACATAACTAGAAAATACTTTTGATTTATTAATTGTACATGCAATATTTGACTAAATATTATCTCTTCATTGTATATATATATTTTAAAATTAATGTCATGGCAGTTTTTTTTAGTATTAATTGTATTGTTTAAAATTTATTTGTTTAAGACGTTAAAATATGACAATTAATATGTAAAATATCATATAAAGTATGAAATATAATAGTTTCCTGTATCATCTTAAATTTGAATTTTTCTTTTTAAAAACTTCATCTCAAATTTCAGTTCTATAAATATTATTGGGCATTAACAAATGGAGACTAATAATACGTATTTGAAAAAAAAAAAAAAATGTCGTACTATCCCTTCACAAATAATCTTTAAAGTATATACAAATAGCTGGGTAAGAAAATAGACATATACGATATTTTACTATGAATTAATAAGTATAGTTATTGCAGATTTCAACTTTCCATAAAGGTTGAAGAGATAATGCTATTTAATATCACTGTTATTAAGCACCAATTTAGATGATAAGCAAGTGTTATTAATTGATTGATCACTTTAAAAGTAGGAACATAAATATATTTAAAATGTTCCATCACTTGCAGACGCCTAGACTAGTGCTCTAACGTTAGTGGTGTTAGAGAACATTATTCAAGTTGAAATTAGAGCTTTCTGCAAAAGCTCCAAGTAATCTTTAAATTATTTACAAATGGTTGGGTAAGAATATATATACACACACACTAATATACAAAATATTTTACTATAAATTAATAAGTATAATTAATTCATCTTTCTATAAAAGCTGAAATTAGAGCTTTTGGCAAAAGCTCAAATTGAAGCCTGTTAAACAACATTTAAAAGCTTTTTCTTCTATATTTATATTTTTTATTTTTTTCATTAAACACTTCTTTGGACCTTAACCAAACAACTATAGAAGTACTTTTGATATTCTAAAAGTAAGCTCTCCCAAACACACTATATCATTTGGCCACAAGTCTTGCCTTTAACTCTTCAGAAGTGACATGTGCTTTATATTTCATCGTAAATATCTATTTCCAACATCCTATATTTTTCCATGTTGTAAATTAGCAATCTCTCGTATCTAGGTTTTATTCAATGCTCTCTCATGTATTCGATCATAGCATGCTTTCTTGGTTTTTTATTCATAATTTGTTGCAAAAAGACAACCGTCAATCGCATATTGTCTCTCAAACTAATAGAATTGATTAGTTGACAATTGAACCATAACTGATCTTCCTCGTAATATCTATGTGGCGCTGGCACTCTAGAAAAGAAAATAGTAAATGATGGTTATGGCAATGTTATTAGATTAAAATGTTGAAATGCGCATTTTTTAATGAGAGAGTCATAGAAGAAGAAATTTATCCCCTTTTTTTTCCATTTGTTTTCTACATTATTTTCGAAGTCTACACAAGTTTTTTCTTTTTCTTTTTTTTAAATTTATTCCATCTCCTATTGCACTAGGTGGATTGCTGTCCATTTTACTATCCACACGTCTTCAAGTGGTAGATTGTGGTTGTGAAAGTCAAAACTAAGAGAGCAATTCATGTGATGAACATGAGATGAAACCAAAAAGTGGAACAGTTAAGAATGGATTTAAATTTAATTCAACAAACCCAATGCAAGTTTGAAGAATAAATAATATGAAAAAGATTCTTAATTATTGAAAAGAGGTCGTGACGAGGGCACTTTCCCATGTTGTAATTTTTCTATTGAAGTTAAAATCTACACTCTTTAATCTTGAAAAATTTAACAAACGAAATGAAAGATTGCCAGCATAAATTTCCTTTTGTGGGTCTTTTCCTTTGTATATGTGGGATATTCAGAACTAAAAAGAATCATTTCTGGGGTTGGTTGAACGAAGTCGTGATCTGTGGGAAATTTGGTGGTGCTGGTGCCTAATTTTCTTCTTGTTTGACAATGATATTGCTTTGTTTAATTTAATAATTAATAGCGTACGATGAGCGATCAACTCTATTAAGAAAGAATCCAAGGACGAAAAAGGGGATGACGAAAGTATTTGCTTTAATACGACTAAATATTTCTTGATGCTAATAAAATAAGGTTTATGTTGTTGGTCCAGGGTCAGGGACCAACTCAAAAACAAGGGGCTGAGGTGTCAGCCCTTGATTTAAGTCCCATGGATCTAGATAATACCTCAGCCCCTATCCCTGATCCTAGTCAGGTAGCACAGCTCATAAATAATTTGGAGAAATTTAAGGTATTTTTCTATTTTAAGTGCATTATTTACCATTATAATATGAAGTGATCTGTTAATATATTTTTAATAATGATATTATTTGTTAAAAAGGTTGAACCCCAACCTTAGGGGCCCCCACCGACCTTGTCCTGGGCCATCGTGGAGGAGGTAAATCGCAGGATGTGTCTCCTAGGAGTCAGGGTGGAGAGCACATGGATAGGCCAAGACTGTTAACCCATATGGTAACTCCCGCTTGCAACAAAATCAATTCCATCTTGTGGGGAATCGAACTCTGCACACTGCCGCGCTGAGCCCTATCCGCCTTCCCCTTTGCCACTGGAAGATATGCCCTGGGGGCATGATATGATTTTTTTTATAACATGGGACTTGGTTATTAACTCTTAGTACCAATAGTAATAGCTAATAATTCAGTATGTCAATTAGTTATCAATTATTAAATAACATTAAATTATAAGAAAACTGGAACTTGATTTTGGTTCTTGAATATGTATCGAATCACTAAAGTAGGTTCGATGGGTGTGTCTTGCGCCCCGCGAGTTTTAAATGTATTGGTAGGTAGTAGTAGTAGTAGTAGTGTTAAACAAAAAGTGGGAATTGAGGTTGATAAATCAATTTTAATTTTAAAAGAAAATAAATTTAAAATTATTTTATTGAAATATTTATTCATTTAAAATTTGGAAGGAATGATTATAAAAAATGATTTTTGTTGAATCATCTAGACTCAAAATTTTCTTGATGATCTGATTTAATATGATATTAGCTAATGCAAAGATATTCTTCAAATTTGGCGAATCAATAGACAACTCATCAGGATTCGTCGGGAGAAGCTCGAATACTTGACTCATCGGAAAAAAAGTAAAGATATTATTCAAATTTCAGCCGACCCATCTATCAAATCGTCAATATATTCTACTTTATCATCCAATGCTTTTTTTTTTTTTTTTTTTTGTTAAATTTATCAAACAAATCTATCGGATCAACTAAAAGACATGGCACATGAAGACAAAGTATTTTCATGCAAGTCTTATGTATTCAAGGAAAATGAATATGCCATGTTGCAAGTAATTTGGCTTATTTTGTCATTTTTAATAAGAAGTTATTTATTAGGCTTTTTTGCCAAACCAAAAGAACTACAAATCCTACTCTTCTTTTATCATTTACAATAGCATACAACATTGAAATTATTACTTTAGACCAACATCAATGTTTTGTTCAAAACAATCACAATGTATGTCCGGAATTGAACACATGCACTTGCTTTTCAACATGAGTTTGTGTTTGGCTAATCTTAAAAATTACTTTTTCTAAAAGTGAATTAAGATTTATGTTTGGTAAAATAAATAACTTACTTTTAATCAGAACTAAACATACAATCAAGTGGAGAACTACTAATCTTCTTTAACTGTCCATCTTCAATATGATTTTTGAACATGTTGATTTGGAGAAAATTTCATCGTAGAATTTTTTAAGGGTATGTATGATTTCTTGCTAGTTGACAAATATAATTGCTAATAATTATGATAAGTTGAGAGGTCT